AACAGCTACTACATTCTATAGAACTAAGAATATCTGGCAAAGTAAAATCACCTTGGGTGATTAAACTACCTTTACAGATGATTGTTTCTATCTCAACTTCAGCAATTCTATTTAATCTACTTAGAAGTGATCTTCTCCCACTAGTTTATAAGAAAAGAGAAGAAATTCTCTGCAAGATCGGTAAAAAATGCAATCAAATTAAACTTCTTAACCTTTGACAAGCTTTATCATTGCAGAACAAAAATTTCCTATGTAAATGTTTTTCAGATGAAAGAACAAGTCCTAGAAGCAAAGTTTAATCTTCCTAGTGAGAGTCATTAAAAAGAAATTGTTTCTAAGCTTTCAAACTCATAAATACCTTTCCAGAGGTCTGAGACCAGCAAGTCTCTTAACCACTACTATTTTTTTTACATAAGCTTGAAACTGTCAATATATAAAATAAAGCTACAAATGACAACAATTTAAGAATATTTATGTAGTAACATCTAACACTATAGGCTAAATATAATGTTTTTTCCTGCATCGTTTTGAAATATAGACTCAAAAACTCATTGGGCATTAAATTTCAATCTGGAAAACTTTTAACCTCTACCAGTAACACAGATTACACATTTAACTAATATTGATCCCTAGATCCAAACTGTATCATTCATCTCCATTAAGTCCAGATATAATATATACATATATATATATATATATATCCTTGTGCTGATTTTAGTTCTAAGTAATTTTCTAAGAAAGTGAAATCTTTTATATTTTTAAAAGCCATTCACACTCTTCCACATTTCCACACAAAGAAACTCATTTTCAGAATATTTTTAATATTTCTTTTAGTGGGAAAATGACAGAAATAAAAATATTGTCAACACTGTCAATATTTTAAAATAAAAAGTTATACCTAGCATGTTTAATAGGTAATAATGTAGAGCAAAGAATTATACAGAAATTTATACCTAAGGATTTTTTAGTACCCAAACTGAGACTAAAATCAATGTTTAGCAACAAATCTCAAACAGAGATTATGCATTTTAAAACACACATAGTAACATTTTAATATAAATGTCATTAGGAAATAGTGTCCTACATAATCATCAAGTAAGGCAGAACATGGGAATTTACCCCTTCCCACAACCAGGCTTAGGCTAAAAATCTTTCTAAGACTTCTTATGAAATCCCGAACACAGCTCACTGTGAAATGCAGCACTACCAGTGAGTCCATTTTGTGTTCTTATGGTATTTGTAGGTTTCCATTTTCTTTTGTGGGGTTGTTTCCAATTGTCCTTTTCCTGTCAACCCTTTTGGGATCAGTGCACCTTAACAGCTCGTGCAGAGTCACTTGAGCCAAGTGTGCATGCTGCTCAAAGACTTTTTCTGTAAAGTGCTCATTTTCTGCCCTGTTCCAGATAGCCGAGACTGGTAAGTGATCTAAAACTGTTACTAGACCCTAATTTCCCAACTGCTTTAGCACAGCCCCTAGGGTTAAGTACATATTCACACATATGACTAAAACCACTAGATTTCAAACATCTGCATTGAGTTCACTATTTACTTTTTCAGAATTTTATCTTTGCAAAGTACTTTTTTCCTAACGTGTGAGCACAAGTTTCAGAGAAATTTCCACATTCAATATAAAAAAAAGTATTTTAACTTATGGTACTCATAGCATACCAAAAAAAAAAAAAACCAGTATGAGTGGTAAGAACAACTTTTCAATTTCTTCCAAATCTTTCTTTGTATTTATACTGAGTTATTTTAAATGTTCATTATGAAATTAAAGATAGGTATATGAACAAAAACAACTATATCACCGGTTGCAGTAGATTTTTAATCTGATTCATGAATTGGTTTAATGGGCACAGTGATTTGCAAGGGCAAAAGGGTATGTGAGTTTTTAGAAAAAGCAAGGTGCTTGGGAGCAACTTTTAAACCGTGGCAATGAGTATAGCCCCTTGAATACATCATGAGGCATACACAAATTTCAGTAATATTCACAGTTAAGTGTTGTTGTAAGTACAAATATTTTGATTTGGAAATTTACCACTTCTTGACACTTACCTAGACGCAGCCACGATTATGTCTAACCAGAGGCATGACATGGTGTTCCAAGTAACACACACAACCACCCACCCACACACCCCTATATAAGGGGTACCTCTATAAGTCTGTATGTATGCCATCATGTACATAAAGACGTAACACGCTTTTAAAAGTGAAATATCATTATTTCCTAAAACAGAGTCAGATATTTTTGTCTAACCATACAAAGATAGAATTTTGTATTATTTGTCTATTCTTTCTGAATAAAAAAACCCCAAAGGTTATGAACTTAGAAAAAACTTGAATGCTATGAGACTTCTGGTTCAAGAAAATATCTACTCTTCCATCCAAAACTGTTTTTGAAAAGTCTTGTTTTGAAAAGACTATTTCCTTATGTTCAATTTGCAAGTCAAGAAGCATTTGCAATCTGAAAATTCGGAATAAGCAATAGAACTCAGATGTAGGTTGTTTTAATTGCTTAGATCATTTTTGAAGCATAAGGTAACTTGACATTTTAAAGCATTTACAATTTCATTCCAAAGAAATGCTAGGGTGCTTCATATTCTGCCTGCAAAATGGCAATCATTTAAAGAATAACTTTTATATTGTCAAATAGAAGATCAACATTTCCATATAGATTGGGCAAGGGAGGACAGAGAGAAAACAAGAAAAGCTATTAAATGAGAGAAGTACTTTAGAAATGCCTGAGCCTTAAAAAGGAGGGGTGGGGGGGGAGCAAAAAACCCAAGCCTTTGCTGGCTTCAGATACCTTCATTAAAAAACAACAGGCAGGGTAGGGAGGATGCAATGAGAGAGGTAATTTTAAAAGGCATTGTCTAGAAACTAGAAATGAGGAGAAAACAACCTCAATGCTCTATGATTACCCAAGAACGGGTTTAGCCAGATGAACAAGTCTGTTACAAACCCTCCCCAAGGCATCTGAAAGACTATCAAACAAAACTTTATTAAACTGGATTAAATGGTTTCACTCATTAGATGTCCATGGCTACACTGTTTACGATCACGTGAAGAAAAAAAAAGTTGATGCATGGGACCCAAACTAGGCTTCAGTCCTCTTTTCGGTTTGTTTTTATTAGTACAAGCTTTGTTAAGACAACCCACTATTAAATTTCTTTGCCAGCAGGTCAAGTTCCAGAATTGCAGGTATAAGCATTCAGAGCACTAAACCCTGACTTGCAGGGGTTGCAAGGCCATTTAGATATGCTCTGACTACATCCCTGCCAATAGCACTTGATTACATCGCTATATGCAATTGCACCCCTCTTTTATTAGGAGACTTTAACCTCATGAAAAACATGTTCCCCTCCTATCTCTCCTTTCAAGGACTTAAAAAAAAACAACCACCCCACAACACAATAGTTCGAATATTTCAGTTACTTCTACTTCCTTAATAAAAATTCAGGTAAAACCCATTTTCAATGTTTCCTTCCTTAACATAGATTGTACACAAAAGGATATTTCAGCATTTCTATATGGAATGTGTTCTTGGCCTTGTCATTTGTATTTTGAAAACTTTAGATTGAGTTTATTCTACATTTAATGGGAGTTTGTTCAACTATAAATGTAATTTCTACTTTGGGCTGATTACATAGGATCTTTTCCTTGATACAATCTATTTGTCTATATCTAAAAATGACAGACCCAAACAATCCATTTCATTGACTCATAAAAGAAATGTCTTTTCTTTAAAAGCAGTTTCTCAGAAAGCCATGGAATCTACCACGTTGTTGCCAACACTATGTAGGTTTTAATAAGTAGCAAGCAATACCTAACAGGCATACAAAATGTCTGCAGTCATATTCCTCTCAGTGCTAAGTCTCAGAACTGACCTTCATTCAAAGGCTTTTACTTTTTAATGCAGCAGTTAGAGATAACTACTTCATTTATCAAAACTCAATTTCCATAGTAACATCTAGCCTGGGGAGATTCAAGTCCTTACACTAATCCAACAACCCATTCAAAGGAACTGTTGAATACTTTGGTTTCCATAGCAATGATGGAATAAAACATTTTGCTAGGTCATTGCTTTTATTAGCAAACTTATCCTTTGAACTTTATGTTAGGCTTTGTTTAATGAGAGAAAATAAAACATAATCACTTTATATAAGTTCTTTCCTTTAGTGCTGTCCTTTTAACCAAAATCACAAATACTAACCACCTTTATGTTTGAAAATATTTTGGGTATTAGGATGGTTTGAAAGCATGCCACCTGATTTCAACCTAAAATGGGTTCTGATACAAAGTTTTACAATTAAAAAAGCATTTGATTGTATACATTTGACAAAATAAAATGTTTATAAAATTTAAAAGCACATTTTGAAAAAGAATGAAATATAAGCTAGAATCAAGTCTTTCAAATGCATCACATGTGGGCTGGGGTAGAGTGCAGACAAACTTCTAAACCACAACCCCATCTCTATTTGATTTTAATACTCTGTAATTTCCGCCCTTCCTTTCATCAAGCACATAAAACATGCTCAACACTGATATTTTAGGCTAATGGTAAAACTAAAGATAATGTATTAAGCAGTTATGCTTTACATGCTGAATGGGCAAGTTTTTAATGTTTCATATAGCTTTGCAGAAGCCAACTTGATTTGTTAAAGAAAAAAATTAGTTCCATTTTTTCCCTTTATGATAAGAAATAGCAGTGCCATTACAAGCTTTAAAATCCATTAGTAAACATCATTGTTTACATTTTTGGGTAATTAATTCTATGTGAGGTGACAGGGCAAGGCCTTCGCGAGGGAACATGAGCCTTCCTGGAACCAGACTTTTTCACTGAGCTGAATTTTGAGCCAAGCCAGGGCTGAAAAGGTAGGCCATTAAAAAATAAAAGTTGACAGAAGAAAGAAGAGATCAAACAAGTGTTGGCTTTTAAAAGGATGAATACCACTTACACTATTTACACAACTCAGAGAATTAACAAGAAAATTACATACCAGTATGAGTCCTCAGGTGAGCTTTTAAATGAGAAGACTTCGTATAAACTTTTGTGCAGCCTAAAATAAAGCAGGAGAGGAACAGCTTGTCATTTTAGAGATCCTTTGAAATCTTTACATTTGATGATTCAGTGTTTAAAATCTGGCTTTAAAGAAGAAATCTCTCATGCTAGATAGCTGAAGCTTCAGCTTTAAAAAGCACTCCCCTATTACCTTATTAAAGTGATTTGCTTTATGTATGTATCACTTTAGCAGAAAGAGGATAATGAGCCAAGCTACAAATGGGAAATGTGTTTATATTCCAGTAGGTGCTTTATAGTAAGTAGTAACATATACTTCAGTGATTTAAAAATTTTAATGGCTTCAGAGCTGACAATGTTAATCATTATCCAAGATGACTGCCATTTTCTGTACCCCTAACGTTTCTTGTTTTTTTCATTTAGTATGGCATGCCATATCATGTACCATAGCCAATAAATTATACCCTGCTTTATTTATAAACTAGCTTATGCCAGCAGCTTGCAAATATATTCATTACTGTCATCAATTCATATTTTGGGTCATATATGTCATTTAAGGATGAGCATACATGAACTACCCTTAAATCTATTGGATAGACAGTCTTATCATATAGCAGCCTTACTCAATCCCCACTTCATTACCACACCATATTTTCTTCTACCTTACTTAAGTAATCTTTTTCCAGGGTACTTAATTTAGAATTAAAAGCTCCAATTTATGATTGAAGATTATGTTAAATAAAATAACTCTGGCATAACTAAAAATTCTAATTTTTATTTAATATTAAAGAAAAAAAGTCTAAATAACTTTTTTCCAGAATTTAGTCTAGCCTTAAAAAAAAAAAAAAAAAAAAAAAAAACACCTCAAATAAGCAATAGACGACTAAACAGAACAACCAGGGAAAGGCACCGAGACTGGGATATGAAAAGAACAAAGTAGGTGATTTTCATTGTCAAGCACTACTGTCCTATGTAATTTTAAAAACTGAGTTTGGAAAAAAGCACAAAGACACAAACATTAAATCGATGATGCTTCAACCAGGTAAGACCACATACCAGGGTAATCGCAGTAGTGGATGCGTCGTTTCTCCAAATCGGGGTTACTCCTTCTGTTGTATCTGACAGGTTGGATGTTTTGCGAATTAACTGGTAGGGTGGCAGGTAAATTTGGATTGTGAATTGCCAGTTTAGAAGCAATTGTCGCAGCATAGGACGGAGGTGGGGTTAAATTCTGGAGCATCTCTGCTTGTCTATCTGGACTTCCAGGCTCTGAGCTTGGTGGTGACGGGGGAAAGTAAGTGGCCTGCTGTGGAAGAAACTGACTTGGCATTGTGTATGTGCAAGGGGGCATGCCCTGGAATTGTTTCATCGTAGTCTGCGGAACGGCAGAGGTGTGTGTGTTAAGGCCTGCCATGGCGGCTGACATAGAAACATTAAGAGTGTCCATGACTGCTGTCTGGTTTGTAGAACTGGGCATATCTAGATCCGGTGTATTCAGCAGCTGGTACAGGTGGCCCTGCGGGGGGACAGAGAGATGAAGATCTGGTGTAGGAAGTTCTTGTTTGATGAAAATATTGTTCACCTCTGGAGCTGCGGCCTGGTGTGAGCTGAATATACTGGTGAACTCAGGGAGGGCCTGGGTTGGGGCCGGAGGAGGGGCAGTCGTTTCACTCTGGTGGCTGAAAATGGTAACAGGTTCTGTCTTGATGTGTGTTACGCACGGTCTCTGGGATTTGTAGAGGCCAGTTCTCAGGTGAGTGATGTCAGGGAGGAAGACGTTCATGTTGATACTGTAAGGTAACCCTTCACTGTCAGTGAAGAACTGGTCTACGACTGAGGCACTGTCTCGTCTATACTTTTTATGCTCTGGAATTATAGAAACTGGAGGAAGCTGAGGTGTCAGATACTTCTCCATTTCACATCTCGTCTGAAAAAAAAAAGAGAGAGATACAAACATGCATAATCCACCTAATTCATCATCTCAGGAAGGATAAACAAACGGTGCTCACTAAAAATTCCCCAACAATCCTTGTGAAAAGTACTTGGGCAAACTCCTTCTAATGTTGCTTATAAACATATCAGGTTTATTTGTCAATTGTGTAATAACTGGTTCATCAAACCTTACAAAACTCTGTAAAACATGTATTTGGTAAAATCGCTCCCACAATCAACTGCGGACAAAAAGTGAATGAGGCAAATCAAGAAAAAAAGGAAGCAAACAGAGAGCATACTCCTTTCTGATGCAAGAATATGGAACACCTCATCACTCACATACAAGCAGAATTCCCTGCCCATCACACAGTTAAGTTGCAACTATAGTACAGTATTGTAATACTGCCAAACCACTATGTTCATATCATACAGCTCTTTAAAGTGTGTTTTTTAACTAAGCAAACCTTAAATATAATATTGCAAAGTTGTGAGCTTGTGTGGGGTTTGTTTTGTTTTGTTTTTGGCTTGGATATTGCTTAAATATCTAATATAAAACGTATTCCTTAGCTATTTTGGTGCCTTTCTTTTGATTTACAATTCAATAGACGCCTAAATACAATGCTTTGATCAAAACATAGTATCCACTGAAAGAACAAGTTCACATTCAACATTTGTTCTAAATGTTGATTTTAATCAGCAGATTCTGTAATTGGTTAATATGATAATGAAATGTTCCTATTCATATCCCTATCTGAAACAGATCTTTAATTACCTAGGGGAAAATCACTCCCTTGGTAGAGTGGTGCTAAGGCGCCCGTGGGTGGGGAGAGGCTGCTGTATGGCCAGCACAGTCATCAGCAAAGCATTTATCATGTCCTTCTCGGTGGGACAATGCTACATTCCCCCTCGCTCTGTAAAAACCTCAGTCAAGCCTTATACTCTTTTTTTTTTTTTTAAATATATTTTATTGATTTTTTACAGAGAAGAAGGGAGAGAGATAGAGAGTTAGAAACATCCATCAGCTGCCTCCTGCACACTGGGGATGTGCCCGAAACCAAGGTACATGCCCTTGACCGGAATCGAACCTGGGACCCTTCAGTCCGCAGGCCGACACTCTATCCACTGAGCAAACCGGTCAGGGCCCAGCATGTTG